AAAAAAAAAAAAGAATGTCTAACATAAAAAAGCAAAATATGAAACAAAATCCGCACACATTTCAGAATTGGCTTAGGGGTAAAGGCCAGCCATGTGATGCCATGGGCAGCATGAGGAGTTCAGACACAGCACAGGACAGGGAGGATTTGGCATGGAAGGGCTTGTCAGTCACCCACACACTCTGGATAGCCAGCTTGCCAAAGAACAGAGAGACAGCAGCGCAAGCCCGGACTGCTGTTCCAAATAAGGATCGGAAGCTTTTTAGCAGAGCAGATTCCTGGCAGGTCTGCTTCCAGTCCTGACTCTCATTTCGAAGGGACCAGCTACCTCCAAAGCTGTCTGAACTCTCAAATGGCTAAGTAAAAGGAGATTATATTTACATTTTTAAAAAGATTTCTCCCTTTATTTGGTTATTAAATAAATTGCATGAATTGCATGAATCTCTGACAGGAGCCATCTTAATTCTTGAAACCTACAAGTAAAGAACACAGCTGAAAAAATGATTAAGAGAAAACAAAAGGCTAATAGAGTAGCAAGAACCTAGAAGACCTGATCTCCCAACCTTAGGGCTTTCATCAGAAATCCACAACAGAAGCATCTTTAATCAAACACATCTTCATAGGCTAAAGTAAAATTTGTATAAGCAAATGAAAAGAGATCAAATAAAACCAGAAAAAAATAAAAGAAAACATCCAACATAGGCTATTATAATTTTTGATTTCAAAGAATAAAGAAAAAACTTGAGGACCTTTGAGAAGATAAAACATATTACTTACAAAGCAACAGAAATTGAAACTGGACATAGATATCTACCATGCCAAACACCAGAAAGCAATTCAACAATAGGACCAATTTTTTAGAATAATATGCCAAATTCAAGATATTTACATCTACATCCAGGAAAGTTACCAAGTATATGTGAAGCAAACAAAGATATTCTCAAGTGTCAATAGGTTCAAATTTTTTATCATTCAAATTCTTCCCACAAGACAAAACCAAAAAAAACCTTTAAAGCATACTCTATGACAGTGGTCTCCCAAGGGGTCATTCATGGATCTCCAGCTAATTGCATCGTGGACTCATGACCTAGATTTAACTAAGACAAACTTTATAAAATAGACATGTAGCTTAAAAAAATTCCTGAAAGAAGTGGCAGATGAAATAAAATGATAATAACACAAGGACAAAGAAACATGAAAAGGGGCTGATATTTCCCTAAGAAAACCTCCTTTTCTAGTCTAAATACCTCCTGTGCCAACTTTACAAACTAAAACCTAATAATAGTCAAAAAACCATTGACATTACTAAGGATATTATGTGAACTATGAATTTATTTCCACTATTGTCAACAATTCCCATTCTTGGGAAAGCACAATATTGAGTGAATCAAGTGAGTCACAGACATCTCCTATCTTGTGATTTGGGGGGCAGGGAATGGCCAGACACCCCTGGCCAGAATAGGAGCCGTGACCCCAGGAAAGCATCACTCAGAATCCCACTCAGCACTGAAAATAAGCTCCACTGGAAAGTCCCAGGCTTTGTGCCATAATTAGCAGGACAGCAGCAGTGGGGAGGCTTCTCCCAGATGTAGTGTCTTTGATGCCAGACAGATCCCGGGCACTGACTTTTATGTATTCAGTGTGAAGCTCTGACCAACAGGAAACTGTAAATAGAAAGCAAGCCTCTAGCCAAGTGGCTTCGAAAAAATCCAGAGGAGAAATGACACAGAAAAAGAACACTTTTTAGATGCATGAGAGGTACTAGAAATTAACTTTTGCCCTCGTCTTTCCAGCTTATGAGATGAGCAGAAACCCTGAGCAGCATCCTGGCAGACAGAGAAGGGAACCCAGGACAACCTCCCACTCTGTTTGTGTAAAAATCCCAAGCTGACCTTCACCTCTCTTGATCCAGGGACAACTATACAGAAAAAAAGTGTCTATGGAAAGATTCAGTAATAATGACAGAGAAGAAAACAACACTTAAAATGCAGAGAAAGGGTTCACTTTTGAAAAAAAAAATCAATAACAGAAACAGAACTAAATTTTAGGGAGCATCTGCCATGTGTTCAATAAAATACAAGGCAGCGTAGATCCGTGAAACAAAGGTGAAAGCTGAGGTTGATATAATAAAAAGTGAACATATTTTGTGATGTGGGCCCTTCTCACTGGGGTTAGATGGTATCTCAGGGTGGTTTTGATTTGCATTTCTCTAATAATTAGGGACAATGAACATTTTTTCATATGTTTGTTCGCCATTCCTCTTTAGAGAAGGTTCTATTCATGTCTCTTGCCCATTGATATATGGAATTTTATGTGGATTAATTTGAGTTCTCTATAGATCCTAGTTATCAAGGTTTGGTCTGATTCAAAATATGCAAATATCTTTTCCCATTGTGTAGGTGGCCCATTTACTTTGGTTGTTGTCTCCTTAGCTGTACAGAAGCTTTTTGGTTTAATTAAGTCCCATTTGTTTATTTTTGGTGTTGCAATTGCCATGGCAGTGTTCTTCATGAAATCTTTCCCCAGGCCCATAACTTTCAATGTTTTTCCTATTATTTCTTGGAGGATTTTTATAGTTTCATGCCTTAAATTTAGGTCCTTTATCCATCTTGAATCAATTTTTGTGAATGGACAAAGGTGCGGGTCCAGTTTCAGTCTTTTATATGTGGTTATCCAGTTCTCTCAGCACCATTTATTAAATAGGGAGTCTTTCCCCCAGTTTATGTTCTTGTTTGGTTTATCGAAGATTAGGTGGATGCAAGATATTAGCTTCATTTCCTGGTTTTCTATCCAATTCTAAATGTCTATGTCTATTTTTGTGCCAGTACCATGCTGTTTTGACCACTATGGCCTTGTAGTATAGCCTAAGGTCTGGTATGCTGATGGCCTCAGCTTTGTTTTTATCACTAAGAGCCGCCTTACCTATATGAGTTTTTTGGTTTTTTTTTTTTTTTTTTTCAGATATGTAAAGAAAGAAACCCTTTTACACTTCTGGTGGGACTACAAACTAACACAACCTTTTTGGAAGGAAGTATGGAGAACCTCAGAGAACTCAAGCTAGACCTCCCTTTTGATCCTGCAATCCCATTACCAGGCATCTACCCAGAAGGAAAAAAATCCTTTTACCATAAAGTATGTCCTTTTACCATAAAGACACTTGCACTAGACTGTTTATCTGCAACTCAATTTACAATCACCAAAATGTGGAAACAGCCTAAATGTCCAAGAATGGATTAACAAGCTGTGGTATATACCATACTATCCAGACATTAAAAAAGATGGGGACAAGTCTGAGTGGAGCAAGTGAGGAGAGTGGTTGTGTGGTGGTGTCTTGGAAACCTATAGCGCTTGCAGCATAGCTGACCAACTGACTAAAGAGCAGATTGCAGAATTCAAAGAAGCTTTTTCACTATTTGACAAGGATGGTGATGGAACTATAACAACAAAGTAATTAGGAAGTGTAATGAGGTCTCTTGGACAGAATCCCACAGAAGCAGAGTTACAGAACATGATTAATGAAGTAGATGCTGATGGTAATGGCACAGTTGACTTCCTTGAATTTCTGACCATGACGGCAAGAAAAATGAAAGACACAGACAGTGAAGAAGAAATTAGAGAAGCATCCCGTGTGTTTGATAAGAATGGCAATGGCTGTATCAGCGCAGCAGAGCTTCACCATGTGCTCACAAACCTCGGAGAGAAGTTAACAGATGAAGAGGTTGATGAAATGATCAGGGAAGCAGATATTGACCGTGTTTCACGGTCAAGTAAACTATGAAGAGTTTGTGCAAATGATGACAGCAAAGTGAAGACACTGTACAGAATGGTTAAATTTCTTATACAAAATTGTTTATTTGCCTTTTGTTTGTAACTTATCTATAAAAGGTTTCTCACTACTGTCAAAAAATTATGCCTGTATCATAATTAGGACTCATTCCTCCATGTCCTCTTCCCTTATCCTTACCTTACTGTCATTGTCCTGAGACCTTATTTTAGAAATTGATCAAGTAACATGTTGCATGTGGCTTACTCTGGATATATCTAAGCCCTTCTGCACATCTAAACTTAGATGGAGTTGGTCAAATGAGAGAACATCTGGGTTATGCCTTTTTTAAAGTAGTTTTTTTTAGGAAGTGTCAGCATGTTGTTGTTGAAGTGTGGAGTTGTAACTCTGCGTGGACTATGGACAGTCAACAAGATGTACTTAAAAGTTGCACTACTGCAAAACAGGTGTATTATCCAGGTACTCGTACACTATTTTTTTTTGTAC